CCTAGTTCAGTAAAGAACTTAAGCAGACACCTTAAAAGCTTTGCTGAATCAGGGTCAAAGTGGGGAAAAGCTACAGCCTGTGAGATAAAAGCAAATCTTACACAGAAAAAGAGACTCAGAAAAAGGAAGAGAAAAAAAATTAAATCAGATACATTTCAAGAAGATTATTTATGTTTGCAGTTAATAGGCCAGACCTTAGCTGGTGTAAAAAATCAGCATAACTCTATTAACCTTACCAGAGAAATGGTGATTTCCAAACTGAGGATCTGGCCATGATATATAATTGTGATGATCTTGCTATTGAAATAGCCTCTAGACTTTTGTCCATGTTTCAGCCTCTTAAAACTGTATTTTCTAGAAAGATTCTTCTCAAATGGATGCTATTTTAATGTCCTTTAAGTGTCTTCCAAATGTAGCTTCCTTAATCCTGATCAACAAAAACTCAACATCCTCCAGGCCTTTGTTGTCCATAGCATCATTTCTGTACAGACTGAGGTATTCCAGTATCTTTTAGGCTATAGAACAAATTTATCTTCCTTTGTCTTGTCACTCATTCTGACACAATTATATCATGGGCAAACACTTTTTTAAATAAAGGATGCCAAGTGCATTTCCCATTATTCTCCATGTGTGTGATGTCTCAAAGGTTTAATATCCAAGGTCCTCCTGTCTACTCCACATGGGGTATGTCTAAACTACATGGCTCTGTCGACGGAGCCATGTAGATTTGTTTGCTCAGCAAAGGGAAATGAAGCCGCTATTTAAATAATCGCAGCTTTATTTAAATTTAAATGGCTGCCCCGCTCTGCTGATCCGTTGTTTGTTGGCAGATCGGGGCAGTCTGGATGCTCCCCTGCTGACATGAAAGCCCTTTATCGACCTCCCCGGTAAACCTCATCCTTCGAGGATGGAGACTAAAGATCTGGTGAAATTGTTTATGATAGCGGTGAGTTTCCAGGGCTGCCATAATCAGAGGTGGGAGGGAGTGACTGTAGCTGAGTGTACTGGAACACTGCTTCTCTTCTTCCCCTTACGATCAGGGAGTGCGGGGAAAGTATGCAGATTGTTTGCATTCAGTTCACTCCCAGCTGGTGAGGGGATAGAGCAGAGGAGTAAGTGATGTAAGTCCTGTACTTTTCCCTCGCTCCCTGATAGTGAGGATAAAAGGACGAAGAGCAAGCAGTGGCCCCAATACATGTGGCTGTCACCCCACCCCACTCTCCAACTTCCCAAAATGGCGACCTTGGTGAGTTACCCTCATATCCTTCACCAAAATGTCACCTCTCCTCCTACTCTTCTGAGGGGGTTACAGAGCAGTTGGTTGCCACTTCGACTGTGTATGTAATGTAGTTCAGAAGCACTAACGGAAACCTAAGAGGAAGTGCAATATAGGTCTGATCTCAATGAAATCATTGGGAGTTTCTCCATTGACTTCAGTGGGAGCTGGAACAGACCCTAAATGAAGTAAAATATTATTACAAAATATTGGCATTAATAATTATTATTTTTAAACCTTCACTATCTGTGCTGATAATACAAGAATTTCTGTTTTGTGAACTAAAATATGTCCTATGAAACTGTGGTTTGCTGTTAAATGCCCTTTCGTACGGCTACTCCTGCTGTTTGCCTTTATTATGGATGTGCAGACAAAACTTAGAGGAAATGCTTTGTATAATCAGCATAAATAATTTAAGGTAGCATATTATTTAGATTGACATACCTTCAGTTATAATTATGGATAACCATACAGCATTTAGAGTCTGTAATATTGTCATTAGTTGTCAAAAGAGTCTAACATCAAGCAACATTTATCCAGATGTCTTCTTTCTTATGAGTTGGATAATGTACATATGAACATGTATTCTTTAAGGAACAGATTTTTTTGCTGCCATGCAAATGTAACAAAAGTATGTAAAAAAAATGACATCTAGAAATAATGTTTGGTAACCCCATAGAAATTGCCTGTGTTTTTCTGTAGTGCTGCAAATTAGCATCTTCTATCAGCTGTCTTAACACTATATAGGTCTGATCCAAAACTCATGGAAGTCAATGTCTCCCAGGAACTTAAATGGGCAGATCAGATCCTATCAAAACAAAGTATTAATTATTTAATTAATTATTATTAAACTGATATAGCATTAATAAAACTATTTTAATAAAAGCCTGAACCTGTAAGGAAAAGCAAGATAAGAGTTCAAGGTAAGAAGCACAGAAAGCATTGCCTATCATACCAGCTAGATGTAAACTGGAGTGCAATTAGCATAATTTTTGATTGGGGTGAGAGAGAAGCAGAAAAAGAGCAGTTTTTAGTGCATGGAACCGAAGGCAGTATAGGGTCTATGATGAACAGTTGAGCAGTTCTGGTTCCATCCAGCCACATACTTCCCTTTGCTACTGACAGATGGTTAACTGTCCTGTCCCAAACTGAAGACACACTGAAGAGCTGTTCTTCAAAATGCTTTATGATGGGATTCAAAGGATGACAATGTTGGGGCATTTGCTGTATGAGTAGGAAGGTGCTTACTGGAAGGACTTTTGTGGCCTGAATATTTGCATTAATATAGATACAATGTTTTACATCTGTTGGGGACTTGATAATTAATGTTAAATATAAGCAGAGTCTAGGTATCTTTGAATCTGGTGCTTCTCATATGCTGCACAAGACCAGCATAGTGAATTGCACCAAAGAAATATTTAGATCACAATTAAAGTTACACATTTTACCTTTCTGGATATTAAATATGGAAGCACACTAACATGCCCAAGCAGCAATATAGTTTCCCTAACAAATACCATTTGAAAACCACCTATTATGCTCCAGTCTATTGTCAAGCTTTCTAAAGACTCTCAGTTCCTCTCTGATACTTGATATTGAAACACATAAACAATTACTTTTTTCATCATGTCTGCACTGCATGGCGATTCACACAAAACTGACTCAATTCCCAAAGTCCTGCTGCAGCCTGCACTGAAAGCAATATAAACCCAATCACAGATTCTCTAGAAGCATGTCTTCCATGATGCTGGCCAGTCTGGGGCCAATCCAAGACTGCTTCCTCAGCTTGTATGGGGTATATACGCATCCTACACTGTAGATCTGAACACTGCCCTAACAAAAGGCTTAAATAGAGGGTCTCACAGGTGAGTTTCACTCTGGGTTAAATTTAGAAAATTTCTTCCAAAAAGCCTGATGCACAGGTCAGTGCAGTCTGTGTACAGCATGTATACCTAGGGTCCTTTTTATTCCATGATTCTGCAACTGTACAATATGCCACAGAATCCACATCTTCCTTACTGCAGAATCTAAAGCTTGGCCTACATCTAAAACTGGTGACATCACTCTAGAGTACGAGAAATTCACAGTTAAGAGAGATGCAGCTAAGCTAACCTAAGTCCTGCTACAAACACCGCTAGGTTGACAAAAAATTCTTCTGTCAACCTAACTATTGCCTCAAGGGGGTGGATTTACTATAGCGATGAAAAGACCCCTTTCATCATTGCAGAAGCGTCTACACTACAATACTACTGCAGCATAGCTGCAGCACCACAGCTGTACCACTGTAGGACTTACTGTGTAGCCATAACCTAAGCTTTCATTTTTAAATAATTAGGTTTCTAGCCCTATTGTCTGTAACGAAACCCCTGAAAATGCAAAGTAGGTGTAAAAAAAAGGCAATGTTGTCCTTCAGACAAAAAGCAGCCTGAAGTCTCAGCCCTGCAAGGCATAAATGACCCCATTGAAGTGTTAACTCTGAAATCTAAAGATACTATTTTAAAATGTTGGCGTTAACCATAGTATCATACTTACCCACAGTCTTGAAATGTCTGATGGGCCTTCTTGGGTACCCCACACATTGCTGCAATTTCCAGCTTCTCTCCTACCAACTTCTCCAGTGCAGTTCATCGCCCGTGAAAAACTCTGCATCCCTCAGAAAACTGAAAATATGGGGAGGATGTAAAATAAACTGAGTATCAAAATAAATAACATGGAGTCTACTCTATTGTTTGTAGTTTTCATTTTCATACTGAATTTATTGAAAATCTCATACTATTTTTATTTAAATGAAGTTGCCTTTGGCTTTTCAGACTGTTGAGCCAAATTAAGGAACAATTCCACATAAGTTCATCCTGCTTGCTGTAGAACACATGGGCCTTGAATAATCTGTATATTTTTCATTAAAACGCATTTCTTGGTCCCTTGCTGATCCTTTTTTCACCCTCTGTCTGTATTGGATTACTCTACTTCAGTTTTCACCTTATTTTCCCATGGTTGTGCTTTTTGACTACTGGGTTGGGGTTTGTTTGTTTTTCCCCAGTCTCATGCTCCCAGGGCATAGGCCAAAATGCATTTAACTTGGAGTTAAACTTTTAAACCCACAACTTAAAATTGGGTAAAAGAAACACACTATCCCTAGCTAGAAGTCACAGCACAAAATAAGCCACTTAACATGGCCAATAGCAGAGGGATGGCAGAATATTTTGTGGATGGAAAAGCCACAGTTGTAGTGCTAATAAGGTGGGTCATGGGAAAAGAAACTTATTTCCAAGGATAACCAAAAATAACACGATGATGGTCTCCAAGTTTAGAGGCAATGTGGACACCAAAATATTCATTCAGACTGGATCTCAAATCATCCCTTTATCAGAGTAACTCAAGGTCATTATATTGAACAGGTATGGCTCATCGCTAGAGAATGGCAAGTCTAGTGTATATTTGGGCCGTGCAGGATGATGGACTCAGTGGGCCAAATTCAGACATGGCAAAAGAGGCCATAATAACTCAGCCTCATTTGGAGCTACAGCCACTTAACCCAGGACACAAATGGATTTAATTATCTATTTCTTTTTGTCAATCTCTGTCTTCTGAGAGCCTATGACTTGTGCAGGGATGTCACAGAAACTGAAGCTGAGAAATCATTGAGAAAAATCTATATTTGATAAAACCTAAAATCATTATTTTAATTATATATTATTTTTATTATTATTATTATTATTTACAGGACAAATGCCTTAGTTCCAGCTCTCCAGCCCAGGCATCCTGCACTGAGCCCGTCTCCACACGTCACTCCACTCCTGACATTGAACTCCCGACAACCCGGACCAAGAAGACTGCCAAAAACACTCCAGCTATTCTTCTTCATCCTCACTAACAATTTGGTAATGAAGTATTGATTTCCACTCCCCTGCTTATGGACGATATTAGATTTTCATTGATAAACTGCACTGGGGCTGTCTAGTCTCCACTGTCCCTTTTTGCTGTCACTAAAACAAAGTGCCACTGAAGTAAGATAATGACTGAGAACACTGATGTACTTATTTCATCCATTTGTAATACTTGACAGGAAAAAAAAAAAGTATACTTCTTCATAGTTTAATGTCCAAGTGTGCTACACAAGATGCCGTCACACTGGAAGCTTTGCTTTTCATGGTAATGTCCATTTCCTATTTATAACCCCTTTGGGATAGTTTGTCTAAAGGAAATGTTTCTATTCAGTGCAGCTATTACTGTTGCACCTGGGTTGCTCAATCCAGTCATTGCACTAGGGATCAATACATCACAGTAAGTAGAAGAATTATTAAGTTAAAACAGATTCTGAGCCAAAAAAACTCTGAACAATGTTAATCTTCTGTGCAAGTTGTTCAAATAATTATGCTTAACCAAGTTGCTGCCAAAGATTTGTTTAAAATGGATTATTTTCAGGTTGTTTTATTCCTCAGATATATTTTTTTTAATCTCCATTGCTGCATATGACAAGACATATGCAATGGAGTGATTTTTAAACAAAAGCACTATTGTTAGATTATTGAGCATATAAATATATATATATATATGCTCAATAATATATATATATATATAAAAGAGCCAAATTCATCTCCATTACTGTCAATGGAATTACTTCAGATTTATGCTATTGTAAATGAGATCAGAATCTGGCCTTCATACTCTCTATTGGGCTTGTGTATTACTGCACAGCTTACTTTGAAATCAGCTGAAATCTAGTGGGATGGGAGGGGAGCACTTCAATTTAAAATTTGTTCCTGTAACTTTTTTCATTAAAACTTTGAGGTCCCAATTTTAATTTGTGGAATATTCATGCTAATAATGAGATCTAATTAAGACATCCATTAAAAGCCCGTTAAAGTTAATTTAACGTAAAAATTCCAATAGAACTGTATTAGATTTTCTCCATTAAATTAACGTTATGGATTTTTAACGGATGTCTTAATTATATATTATTATTAACGGGAATACTGTATTGCACAGATTAAAATCAGGTTCTAAGTCAACTCAGAAAAGGTTCCAGGATGTTTTAATATTACAAATCTCACATTAGTGCACTGTATGGAAAATCAAGCTCATCAGATGCAGCTCTGTTTACTCTGAGCATTTGCTGCACAATGAAAGCAACCTGTAATAGACAAATTCATCACTGCATTTAAAGAATGAATTTCCTTATTCTCAAAGGACAAATAAGTCTGGATCAAGATGTACACTGCTTCTCAGTTAGAGATGAAAGATTTAAAGTATGCTAGGCACAAAACTGAGATGTGGATCTTTCAAACAGAAGAGGGTGAGGGATTTGCTTTTTAATTATTTTAGTTAGATGATCAAGGAAAAAATAAAAATTCACCATGGCAAAATGAATCCAAATATATTTATAATAGTCCTTATTTCCTATGCAGGATGGGCTATGTTGGAAATATTTGGGAAATTTTGATATGATCCCTAAACTCAAAATGGTGGGGGGAGGGCTTGTTATTTACCTCCTAGGAAAAGTGTTGCCCTTATGCCACATATAATAGCAAATTGCTTTTTTTATGGCATGCATAACGTAGATGGGAAAAAATATGGCGCTTGAGGGAAGGAGGGAAAAAGTAAATGAAGTTCCAGGAATGTCATTCTGAAGTAATGAGGCATGGACAGAAAATATACCCCTCACATCATCGGATTGAGATGGCAGTCGAAATAGCTTCATTGAAGTGTCAGCACTCATCCATCAATCAATCATCCACAAGGAAAAATAGCGACAGTACAACGGGGCGGCTTTTACGGGATTTACTCATGGGCATAGGGAATAGCAGCTCAAATGTAGTTCTGACATGAAAAGCAAGGTGCTGATATTATTTTTTATGATGGGAGGATCATAAAGTGAATTGAGAACAGTGAGGTCTGTCTTTGCTTAACCTATTCAACTGGAAATGAACGGAGCTCAACTGGAAATGAACAGAGACTTCAGATGGGTTAAGACTGAAGTATGCACCGTGCCAATCCCTGTCCATTGACAACAAAATTCTATTAAAGTGAAATCAATGCATTAGCATTGGGCTTCTCTGAAGCTGTTAAATTGCACAGTCCAGATCAGGGTTATTAAATGAAGTTATGTAAGGAGAGGGGGGTAGTCCCTGCAGTGTGAGTCCAGCAGGACCATCAAATTCCACTTTGGGGAAACAAGGATATTTCCAGCACTAAGAATTTTTTTCTTTTTTTTTTTAATTAATCAATCAATGCAGCCATCCATTTTGTGACATAAATTACATTACTAAATATTAGGAGCTGGGGCCTGATCCTGTTCCCACTGCACTCAACTGGCAAAACTCCTAGTGACTTCTGACAGGCCTGATCCTCTCTTCACTGAAGCCAGTGGACATTTTGCCATTGAGTCTCACAGAAACAGGCTTTATATATGCAACGTTTTTGCTGCCCTCCTTTCCCCCCCCCCCTCCCAGTCTGTCATGCCTGGACTACCCTCCTTCCCTCCAGCAGACCTTAGCCTTCAGCAAGGAGACATGTAAAATGAGGCATCTGTAGCAACCAAGTAATATAACATGCACTCTAATATAAATTAGGCTGACATACAATCATGTTGGGACCAATAGGTGCTAATAGAAAAGAAAAGTCACCGCTTTCTCTAGTGGAAGGTCTGTGTTCTCTTTTCTACAGGGTGCATGCACCCTCTCCTTGTTTTATTTATTTAATTTATCTTTATGGTCAGTAACAGGTTGCTAAGGGTATGAAAAGATTTTAAAATGCCTGTGGGGAATTCGGGGCCAGAGAGGGAGTTTACAAGAGTAGTGCCATCATTCCTCAGTGCAAATTTACAACAGCTTGACCATGTCACAGGGACCCGAATGATCTGAATCCGTCGGACCGGATTCTCAGCTAAGATAAATCTCCATAGCTCCTTAACTATGCAAGTTTACACCAGAAGAAGAGCTGGTCTAAAGATCACGAAAAAAGAATCAACAACAGCCAAGAAAACAGAGCCTGAATTATTTCAAGAGAACTAGGTACTGCATAGTCCCGTACTGGAACAGCTGCTTCACTTAGAATCTGGCTACAGATCTCTATTACACCATTCTAAACCGTGTTATTTTACCTACATTCCTGTCCTTTGGGAGATTTTAGATATACTTTTTTTAATTAAGTCACGAAAAAAGAATCAACAACAGCCAAGAAAACAGAGCCTGAATTATTTCAAGAGAACTAGGTACTGCATAGTCCCGTACTGGAACAGCTGCTTCACTTAGAATCTGGCTACAGATCTCTATTACACCATTCTAAACCGTGTTATTTTACCTACATTCCTGTCCTTTGGGAGATTTTAGATATACTTTTTTTAATTAAGAG